GTGCAGGTGAAAGCTTCGAAGCAATTGTAGTGGCTAGGCTAACTTTATTCCTTAATGTCAATGAAGCCGAAAAAAATTTCTACAAAAAAACAATAAACATACCAAGTTAGATATACCAAAAATTACACTGTCAAGATATACCAAAAACAAAATAAACATAAATAGTAGTTTATTCTTGAAACTAAATTTGCACTGTTTTGTCTTTTGGTTGAAAGAAATCGCAACGAGATAATGAGAATCGCAATGCGGAAATGACTATCGCAACGAGAAAATCGCAACGCGAAATGACTATCGCGACCAGACAATCGCAACGCGAAATGAAAATCGCAACTGCGAATGAAATCGCAACGCGAAATGAAATTTTTATTTCGCGTTGCGATTATCTCGTTGCGATAGTTATTTTTCGCGTTGCGATTTTCATTCTCGAAACTATTCTTCTTCTGCATTACTTCAACCAAAAAGACAAAGCAAGACAAATACTAACTTCACAGGCTAAACAGTAAATCTTCGGAGGTGGGGACGGATTTCGCCGTAGAGAGTGAGAGATGGAGATGGGGCTGAGTGTTGTGTTTTTGGGTTTGAGGTTATGTTGCGATTACTGTGGACGGTTCAGTTTCCGATTTATTAAGAAAAAAATCGTGTTTGGAATTTTAAAAAAAAAATACGCGTTAATACGAATGGCGCTATGTAAATCGCGTTGCGAAAGTCAGAATCGCGTTGCGAAAGTCAGTATCTCGTTGCGATTTTGTATTATCGCATTGCGATAGTAAGTATCGCATTGCGATAGTCAGTATCGCATTGCGATTTTCCCAATTCGCGTTGCGATTTACTTATTCGCATTGCGAATTGGGAAAATCGCAATGATACTGTAGACCATCGCAACGCGATTTTCAACTATCGCATTGCGAAAATGCAACGCGAATTTGCGATAATGGAGATCGCGTTGCGAATTAGCGATCGCGTTGCGAATTAGCGATCGCATTGCGATTTTGTTGGTCATTTTGGTAAATCCGAAAAAAATTGGTTAAAATCGTATATTATATAAGATTTTTGGTCACTGAGATTATTTTATCTTTTTTAAAATACCGTAGATGCATGTTTCTCGGTATTTGGGGAAAGGAAAAAATAATTACAAAAGACTAAAAATCTCCTACCTCCCCTGTCATCACAATACAGTCACTATGTCGTCGTCACACATTGTCAGTCATCAACTGTCGACCATCAGGTCATTTCTCTTCTTCGTCACACACTTTATCTAAGAAATGAAAAAAAGAAAAGTAGACGAAAGGTTTACATCACAAACTTTTTAGTTACATTTGAGTGGCTTGATTATTACAAATGTTATAAACAATGATCTAACTATAATTAAAAAGTCAATATCAGTTACACTTTTAATGATAAAATGGTATTATTATTACAATACATTAATAAAGTGACCTGATTATGATTTTTGAAATATGATGAGTTATTATAAATTTACTCATAATACAACGAGTTGTGTAATTCATCCTTATTATAAATGATTACCTTCCCCTTATTGGAAGAGATCATTATCGAACTAGTGATATCTTTTGAAATCTTATTCACATATTTGGTTCGAAGTGATTCTTATTTCTTACTAAGAAAAAGATCATTACTTACAGTCTCCACCCTCATCAAATAAAGTCTACGATATGGGGAACGGAAGGAGAATTCAATTCCACGTGCACTTATTAAATGTTTTTATTTTATTTTATATTAGTTTAATAATTAAATGGTGTTACAAATAACTAAATACTAATTTGATATTTTATCAATATGATCTCTATGATGTCTTTTATATTATTTTAAATAATGTAATTTTGTTCAAATTTATTTTTGGACAATAATTTGACATACAATCTTATGACAATAAAAACGATACAAGTTATTTAATTTCACTCGAATTTAATTCGACAATGAACCCCGTAAAATTTAAAATTCTCAGATTATCTTATTTCTAGATTCTCTAAGGTGGCGTTTGGTTCGCTAGAATATTTTTGGAGAAATTGGAATCTGTGAAGGAATTGAAATCTGAAGGAATTGGAATCTGAATATGAAACATGTTTGGTTGGCAGGAAATTGAATTGGAATCCAATTTCATATTCTGTTTGGTTCGCAGACATGTCAGATGAGTTTGATTTCGGTAATGTAAAATGACAGAATTACCCTTCTTGTTTTTTTTGCTTAATTTTAATTTGTTTTATAACTTACATATATCAATATATTATAAAAATTTAAAAAATATTATTTTTTCATTTTATTGCTTGATTATTTATTTCAATAAATTATAAAAATCATAATAATAAACATAATAAGTTAAAATCATCCCAATTAGGGATGGCCATGGGTCAGGTTGAGTCGTGTTTTTGGTCCACCCGACCCGACCCGATAACAAGGGAACCTCCATCTGAGACCCGACCGAACCAAAATAAAGTTTCACCCGACCCGACCTGAATATATGAATTAGAAACCCGACCCGACCCGAAATAATAAAAAAATATTTTTATTCAATAAAAACAGTGACTTAATTAAAAAAGTTATATATAGATGGGTATTATTGTAATTATTCCTAAATATATAAGGTAAAATTATATTTTTTTGGGTCTGGTATTTTTCACCCTAAACCCGAACCCGGCCCGAATATCACACTTAAAAAAACCCGACCCGACCCCGACCCGAATATCAAACTTAAAAAAAACCCGACCCGAACCCGAAATTTTTAAAAAAATCCGACCCGATCCTGAATTGTTTTTAAAAATATCCGACCCGAATACCAAAAGATTGATGAGGGTAGTACGGTCAAATTTCACATTCTCTCCTCTAAGGTGGTGTTTGGTTGGCATGAATCTCTTGGAATTAGAGGGAATTAGGGGGGAATTGGTATCTAATTCCACCACTTTCCCATGTTTGGTTCAAAATTTTTCAAGGGAATTGAAATCCCTTATGGCTTCAACTTTCCATCAAATGAGGGAAAGTGAATTCCATCCATTATATGATAGAATTCAATTCCCTTGTTGGAGGGAATAGAAATTTGACCATACTACCCTAATCAATATTTTGGTAACTTATTCATATATTGAATAAAAATATTTTTTTTATTATTTCGGGTCGGGTTTCTAATTCATATATTCGGGTTGGGTCGGGTGAAACTTTATTTTGGTCAGGTCGGGTCGATTTTTTTAATTGTGATATTCGGGTCGGGTCGAGTTTGGGTTTAGGGTGAAAAATACTCAACCCGAAAATATATATAATTTTACCTTATATATTTAGGAATAAATTACAATAATACCCCTCTATATATATTTTTTTTCCAATTAAGTCACTGTTTTTATTGAATAAATTTTTTTTTATTATTTCGGGTCGGGTCGGATTTCTAATTAATATATTCGGGTCGGGTCTGGTGAAACTTTATTTTGGTTGGGTCGAGTCGGTTTTGTTTAAGTGTGATTTTCGGGTCGGGTCGGGTTCAGGTTTAGGGTGAAAAATACCCGACCTGACCTAAAAAATATATAATTTTACCTTATATATTTAGGAATAATTACAGTAATACCCCTATATATATTTCCAATTAAGTCACTGTTTTTATTGAATAAAAATAATTTTTTTATTATTTTGGGTTGGGTTTCTAATTCATATATTCGAGTCGGGTCGGGTCGAGTCGGGTGAAACTTTATTTTGGTCGGGTCGGGTCGGATCGGGTGGACCAAAAATCTGACCCAACCCGACTCATGGCCATCCCTAATTGGGATGATTTTAACTTATTATGTTTATTAGTATGATTTTTATAATTTATTGAAATGAATAATCAATCAATAAAATTAAAATTTAATTTTTTAAATTTTTATAATATATTGCTACATGTAATTTATAAAACAAACTAAAATTAAGAAAAAAAAAACAATAAGGACAATCCTGTCATTTTACATTACTGAAATCAAATTCATCTGACATGTCTTCGAACCAAACAGAATATGGAATTTGATTCCAATTCCTGACAGATTCCAATTACTTCACAGACTCCAATTCCCTCAGAAACATTCAAGCGAACCAAATGTTACCTAAAGGATTTCAATTTCACCATGTTATGGATGTAATTTACTTTCTCTCCCTTGATGGAATTGGATTCCAATTCCTCCTTTGAAAACTTGAACCAAACATGGAAAAATAGTGGAATTGGATTCTAATTTCCCTAATTTCAAGGGATTCCAACGAACCAAACGCCACTTAAGAGTTGGGAAACAATACTGTTATTTGCACTTACTATGAAAGATGAGTTCCCCACCTTTAAAACATTTGATAAATTAACTATTTGTTTTATAATTTTTAACAATTTTTTGGGTAAATATGTGGTAAATAAAAGATAATATTTGTTCAGATACTTTTCATCATTTGATATTAAATATTCATACCCCTAGCATATACGGTGTTCAAACTTAGGATCTTAAGGGATAATAGTAAGTCCCTTAACTACTGAAGTTGCTTGGTTCGTGCTATAATAAATGAATCAAAAAAAAAATCATATATGCATTTGTGTAATTTACTCAATTTAATAATTTAAATAATTTTCTAATACTATAAAATATTTTAATTTCGTCAATCTTTTTAATCTAAAAAATTATACCCTAGTTTCCTGTTGTACTATATAAAAAATCGAATTTCAAAATATTTAATCTTTAACAAGGATTTAAAAAATTAGGAAAGACAAAAAATGTAAAAATAATAACTCTGTGGATGAAAGCATTAAATACAAAAAGTGTAGGGGCAAAAAGTGTCATTCAGTTAAAAATAAAACCATCACGTGAGTTAAGCATGACTCCATAGAAAAACAATGAGGACAATTTAGGCATTTGAGTGCTAACAAAGATAAGTACGTCACCAGAACAATTGGCAGCGTGTCTTCTCAGATTCTATAAAAACCCTAATTTCATCTTCTCTTTAATTTCATCCTAATTTCTCTCTTGTAGATCCTTAAAGAAAAGTCAAAAAAAAAATTCTAAAAGAAAAGAAGCACCGGATTTTATATTAATAAAATCAATTTTGCTCATCAACCACTCTCTCACAAACATCCTCTTCTATTTTCCATTTACTTTTATACTCTTGTTCTAATTTCTTTTCTTTGTTTCCGATAACTTTGTCTTTGTTGAAAACTAGGGTTTGCTCTAATGGTGGGTTTCGTCTGTTGCAATTAGGCCGTTTCTGGGAATTTTTCATTTCTTCTGTGAGGGAAGTGCGGTTGTAGTGGCTTCCTAAAAATATAATCCTGTGAGTATTCTCTATTTCTTCTCTATGCAAGCTTTTTTTTAACGATTGTTAGTGGCTTTTTATTTTTGTTTTAAAGATCGATTAATTTTTGGTGCAGTTGTTTCATTTCTGATGGTAGGGTTTGGAAAATTTGGGGCTTGCAGCGAATATATTACTGTTTGTTATCCCTTAATATTTTTCGGTATTAGCTCTTTTTTTTTGGGAGAAAATGGAAGTGTCTTGTATGTTTATTTTGTCCAGGAAAATAAGGTAAAAAAACTATTTTGTGGTGTCAAGAGATCTTTCTCTAACACAATGCTTTTTTTTTCTGGTTCATTTCTGGGAATTATTTTCTTTGCTGTGCTGAATTATTCATATTGTTTAAACTATTAAGATTGTGCCTTTAGGTCCTTTATTCTTTTAGTTTTTAAGTATGACTTACCTTCATTTTGCAATTTAACATTTTTTGGACTTGTTGGATCACTTTTTTCACTGCACTTGTTTTACAAGAATCTCAACTTTTTTAGGTTTATGGTGAATGGCTCTCAGGAATATGATTTTTTTCTCGTAGGTTTTGAAGGTGAGAGTTGTTTGGAAAAGATGTCATCAAAGTACCAAATACTTGACAATAGACCAATTGATCAATGGAAGGTTACTGAGTTGAAAGATGAACTTAAGAGGAGGAAATTGACAACTCGGGGCTTGAAAGAGGATTTGGTAAAACGTTTGGACGAAGCCCTTCGAATAGAAAGGGAAAATACTGAAAATGAGGAAGATAATGGTTTAAATTCTGATCCCCATCCTGTTGATGAGGGAGGGATTGAAAAGGTGATGTCGGATATTTCAGAGACAGTTAAAGATGTTGTGGATCACAGTGGAAGTGAAATTGAGAAGGAGAGTGGGGTGAAGGTTCAGGTTGACATTAATGAGAGTGCAGCTGCTTTGGGTCACGAAGGAGTTCTGGCAAGGGACATCATCGTGCAAGAGGAGCTCATTCCTAAATCTACCACCGTTCAGACTGAGATGACAGTTAACAAGGATGTGGTATCTGAGGTACCGATTGTTGGGCAAGATTTGCAGAGCTCAAGACAAGACGAGGATGAGAATAATATCAATTTGGAGACCGAGGATCCAAAGACTCAGGTGGAGGCTGAGGGTCCAGAGGCTGAAGTGATGAATGAAGAACCGAAGAGCCAGCTGGAGTGTCCGGGTTCAAAATCTCAGCTTGAGAGGGATGATTTGAAGCCCCAGCTGGACATTGAAGATTCGAAGGTGCATCCGGAGAATGATGATTCAATGGCTCCACATGAGGATGACATGCCTGATTCTTCTGCTTTGAACATCCAGGTATCTGAGGTCAGCCCTAATTTAGGGTTTCAAGTAAAATCTGATTCTATTCCTACTGATTCTGTGTCAAATAATGAAAAGATTGAATTAAAGGATAACATAATTGCTGATAATGTCAAATTAGACCTAGATGTTATAAAGTCAGAGATGGTGGAACCATCATCCAGCAATGTTGTCCCAGGTAGTGGTGAAACACATCCAATGGATGTTGGAGAGCCACCTGAGATAAAGGCACCTGTTGATGACAGCGATGACAAGAATATTACAAATGTAGACATGAGCAATAAAAATGATAGTGCAGAGATGGCATACTCAGAAAAATTAAATTTAGATAGAAGTTCGGGTGATGACTCTATGGAGGAGGATGTGCTTGAGAGTAAACAAATTGATTCTAAATATGGTACTGATGAAACTGGAGTAAGGAGTGAAAAAAATGGAGCACCCATTATGAGGGAGAAAAGTTCTGTTCATGTTATTGGAGATGATTTATCTGCATATAAAAAGAACATCTTTGTTGAGAATAAGAGCGGTCCTTTTGTTCCTGCCGGAAAAAGAAAGCTTCATGGTAAGTGACGATAGCCTGCAATTGTTATGTCCTTTCTTTGCATGTATGCTTTTACTTTACTGATGGCATTTTGAAGCTATAACAGACATGCTTAAGATGACTAATTTAAGTAGGGTTTTTGAAACTTGATCTGCTTAAGTTGTACGTGCGGAATGTAATAACTTTGTTTTAATTTTTTGTATTCAATAGTTTATACACTGTTTCCATGTAGCACTGCTTCTTTGGTTGTGAGGTTAAATATATATATATTATATATTTATATTGGTCTTGTATAGAAATTGGCATAATATTTGTTCTTTTACTTTTCTATATTGTTTTCTGACTTCCCAGAGCCCTTGACAGCAATGTTTATAGGCACATTTAATATTGAGCTGGCTGTGTTGTTGAGGGAATAAATTTTTAGAATGCGAATCCTTTTTTGAGAATGAAATCTGTAGTTTGCTTCTTGATAAATGGACAATTCGCACTTAATGAGCTGTCTGTACAGATCAAGAAACTGTTGGAAACAATGAGATATCAAAACGGCGCAAATGGAACTCTGACAATATAAAAGTTCCAGAACATCAAGGATCTAATCTTATCCCCACAACCACGCCTAAAGGCAGAACTCAACCTACTGCTTTCAGACGTAACATCTCTAGATCAGACTCAATGGCAAGCGAAGATACACCTAAGGAACGAGTTGGTGAGTTATCATCTATTGGTCAATTGCTTCAAAATGAATTCTACTGAAGGTGGCTTTAGCATCTCAAAGGTTTTTGTTTTATCTTATTTGGCAGTTCCCCCTTCTCCAAAAGCTCCAACCACTTCTCTCAGAGTTGATAATTTTCTTCGCCCTTTTACCTTGAAAGCTGTACAAGAGCTTCTAGGGAAAACTGGGACTGTAACGAGCTTCTGGATGGACCACATTAAGACTCATTGCTATGTCACAGTAAGACTTGTTGCTTTCTTTCCATCTGTTCGACTTCTTTGGTTTATGATTAATTATTCATTTTGGCTTTTTATATGTTGGGGTTATATTCTATTGATCTAATCCACTTTGGGAATTACTATATTGATGCAGTATTCATCTGTAGAAGAAGCAATAGACACAAGAAATGCTGTTTACAACCTGCAATGGCCACCTAATGGAGGACGTCTATTGGTGGCAGGCTTTGTTGATCCACTGGAAGTTAAAACTCGGGTTGACGCTCCACCTCAGACTCCAACTGCTCCTGGGACTTATGGGTCTGCTGCACCTCAAGCTCAACCTGCTTCTCAGCCCCAGCCTTCCCCTCGTCAACAGATTTCTAGACCGCAGCTTCCACCACCTTCTGCGCTTCCACTACCACCACCTTCTGCGCTTCCACTACCACCACCTTTGTCTAACCCTCCACCAGTTAGAGAACGGCTCCCACTTCCACCTTCACCTCCTGAGAAAGTAGATCCTCCAATTGTCACTCTGGATGATCTGTTTTGGAAAACCAAAGCAACTCCCAGGATCTACTATTTGCCATTGTCAGATGATCAAGTTGCAGCAAAGCAAGCAGCAGAGGGAAGAAACATGAAGCAGTAGAGATGAGGCTGTAGTTTTCTTATTGGTTGGTTTGTTAGATACTGGTTAGAAAGTGTCACATAATTGCATCTTTGCAGGTCTGCAGGTTTTAATTAATTTGAAATTATTCCAGCAATGCGGAGGAATACTTATCCGGTGATGTGTATCGGTTTTCTGACAGCTACTTTGGGCTTGAGTTTTAAGTTCCATATAGCATTAGAATCTTTCAGACTTAGAGCTCTCTTTTGTAATGGATTGTTTCTCTTTTGTTCGAGTTTAGTTCACCTTCTGAACAATAACCTCTACTTTTATGAACCTGATTTTGTAGAATCTTACTCTGGGTGTCGTTTTGACGGAGAGTCCCCGGTATTATTATCATGTTCTCCATCTCGTTTTATGTATTTGTGTAGTTTCAGTTGGGGTTTTATCATCTACTTTTGTGCAAATGTGCTTCTGAGTTTGTTGATGGAATGACTCGGGATTGACAAAAATCTTCTCTCGCACGACTTTTTCAACTTGATTTGGGGATTTCTTCAAACAAGTTCTTCTAACGTAAAAGTATTATATTTTGAGCTTCAGAGTCAATAATCACTTTTTCAAATATGATTTTTTTATTGAAAATGAATTAAGACTTTTTTTTTTCAAATGTGAGTCAATAAGTCAATAATCACTTTTTTAAATGTGATTTTTTAAAATATGATTTTCTTTTATTAAAAATGAATTATTTGAGAATGATTTTGGTGTTAATAAGAATTAAGTATTTTTATAAACATGCTCAAACGCCTTTAAGTTCATTTTCATACGGCTTATGATTAGTAGTCTCGATTTTAGCAAGTTAAGAAATTGAAATTATTTTCAGAATGTACTCCCTTATAAATAAGTAGGTAAGATCATTTCCAAGGGAACACATTTTAAAATTAAATTTAAATTCTCAACGTCTTAAAATTGAGATTACGATGTTGAATTTAGTTTAAACGTTAAAATATTGAATTTAATTCAGACTAAATTATTTTTAGGGTAAATTACACAAATCATCACTGTACTTTGCTCTATTTTCTATTTCACTCATTGTACTTTAAAACTAGTCAATTTCATCACTGAACATAATATAATTGACAAATTTGGTCACTCAACCGTTTCTCTCATTAATGGCCTTTTCCAGAAACACATTTCCCTTTCGATCCATCGTGTCTGACCAACGGTGGCTTGCACCGCCGCCATCAGTAGTCCCAGTGTCACCTCTCGAGTAAAACCCAACCACCAGTTACTCAAAATCGATCGTCAAAACGTCATAAATTGTGAGAAAGTTGCTTGACGCCGCTGTTGATTTTTTGATTTTCGGTCGATTCCACCGCCGTTGTACCTCATTGCCTAGTTCCGACTGAAACCCATGTGGTATTGTCCCTTCGGCGTCGCTCTATTATTGTGGAAGTGGGATTGAGACGACAATTGTGGGAGCGTGGGAAACGGCTGTTAGTGGGGAAACAACCGAGTGACCAAATTTGTCCATTATATTAAGTTCAGTGATGAAATTGATCAGTTTTAAAGTACAGTGAGTGAAATAGGAAATAGAGCAAAGTACAGTGATGATCCGTGTAATTTACCCTTTCTTTTATAGATCCAAGGAATTTTAAAAATTAAGAATTTGAATTTAATTTTCACATCGCTTAAAATGTACTACTAAATCGATGAAGTGAATTTTATTTAAAAATTAATATTTTTCTTATTTTTTTAAATGTAAACATTGCAGTTCATTTGATTTTATGAATGATATTATTTTTGTTAGAGTTGTGTTGTAGATCAACCCTTGCGGCACATAGCAGTTGAATTCGTTTGTTATTCTAATTCTTTTGCCGCTTTTATGTTGATCAAGAAAGGAAATTCATTTGGAGTACGATTATTCCTATGCCAATTCCTTCTCTGTGTAAATAGAAATTTGAATTTAGGGTTTTGTGTGAATTTTGTAATAGTTGTAACAAATCTTAAACTTCTTCAACATAGTGAAATTTTCTTCTTCTCTGCCTAAGGTTTTTCTTTGAGGTTTTTCACGTAAATCTTGTTATTCTTTATTTTTTTTTTCCTTTTCGATCATTTTGTTTGCCATTAATCATACTGATAATCATGATAAACTCGTATAAGAGCTTCACGTTCAAGATAATAGCATCAATAAAAGTTTTATATTCCGCTGTTCGATCGAAACACTAGGTTCTCATTATGGCAGGTGAAGATTCGAGATGTTATTGTATAATTAGATGTTGAAAACATTTTGATGTTTCGATATAACAAATAAAGTATTATTGAATTTTAAGATTTTATATTCAATTTTAAATTATATATTCGATTAAATTATTCGAATATAAAAAATATTACTCCAAGTTTTCAAATGACAATTTTAATCCTTACTCAAGTGTCAAAATTGTGTTTTAATCTTAAAATATTTTTGAAACAATTTTTACAAAGTATTTCGAACCTTAAACGAGCCAAAAATGATTTTCAAGTAAAGGTGTACCGATACACCCATAGGATGTACCGATACCCCTGAATTTCGAATGTAATAAGGGTACCGATGCCTCTCTGGCTCCGAGAAACATCGAATGTAATTAGTGTAACGATACCCCTTGGGTGTACCGATACACTAGGTCAAATAACGGTTGAAATATTTGAATTTTACACTGAGTGTACCGATACCCTTTGATGGTGTACCGATACACTTACGCTCCCAAGTGATTTTTTAAATGGAAAACACACCATAACGGCTCTATTGACTTTACCAATGATCCCCAACATTCAAAATAATCCAAGGTGTATTTAAACAAGTTCTGAAGCAATTGATCAATAAGAATTGAGAGAGAATCAAAGAGAAAGCATCAAACCTCATGTTTGAGAAATTCAAACCTATTTTCCATTCAATATTCATTTTGCTTTTAAGAACACCATTTGTGCTCAATTGTATTTATTCTTGAGTGTTCTTTCTTTGTTCTAGAATTGTGCAAACAACTTGCCTATTGAGGTTTTTTTGTAAGTTTGCGAAATTTGTAATTTTCTATTTGGGAGAGATTGTTCTCAAGAAATTAGGGTATAATTCTTGAGGGATTTGTAAGGTTACTCTTTGTCCTCAAAAGAAAGACAAATTAGTGAATTTGTGGAAAATCCTTAGTGTGGATAGCTAAGGTAGTGGACGTAGACTTTGGTTGAGAAAGTCGAACCACTCTAAATCGTTGTGCAAATATTTTTCAATTTTTTGCAAAAGCTTATAACTAAATTTCTATTGCCAATTCACCACCTCTTGGCCGATTCATCCGATCGATTAACTCAACAATTGGTATCAGAGCTATACTCATTTGAAGGTTTTACCACCTCTTGAGTTAATTCGGGAAGAGATATATCGATATTCAAGTCATCAATGGCATCTACATCAAACTTCGACTTCGCTCTTGAGTCCTTGCCCATCAACAAGCCTCCTTTCTTCAATGGAGCTAACTATACTTATTGGAAGAATAGGATGAGGTACTTCATTCAAGATAGTAACATGAGAGCATGGAAGATCATGGTGATCTAATACTCTGAACCATCCATAGATCCAAATTTGTTGAGTGAAGAAGAGACGAGAATGTTCCAGCTCAACTTAAAGGCTATCCATATTCTATTTTGTGCTCTTGGACCAGATGAATACGAGAAAATTTCATCTTGTACAACCGCCAAGGAGATATGGGATAAACTACAAGTCACTCATGAAGGCACCAACGAGCTAAAAGAATCCAAAATTAGTCTTCTTACTCATAGCTATGAAAATTTAAGGATGAAATCGGATGAAGACATCAAAGCTATGATGGATAGATTCTCCGTGATTGTCAATGACCTTAAAGCGTTTGGAGAAGTAATCCCCAACGAAAAGCTTGTGAGGAAGATAATTTATTCTCTTCCAAAAGCTTGACAATCAAAGAAGACGATGATTATCGAAGCTAAAAATTTAAAGTCTTTAACTCTCGATGAACTCATCGGTTCTCTCCTCACTCATGAAATGATGATTCAAGATGAGGTAGACCTCGAGAAGAAGGACGAGACAAAGAAGGAGACGGAGAAAAAGAAGAATGTTGGAGTTGGTCTCAAATCCACAAAAGTTGAGAGTGATTCTGATGATGACGACGATGATGAAGAGATGACATTATTTGCCAAATGGTTCAAAAAATTAATGAAGCCCAACTGAGGAAGAAAATTCAAAAGAAATGAAGGCTTCAAAAATGAACCAAAGGAGAAGGACCCAATCATTTGCTACGAATGCAAAAAGCACGGGCATGTCAAATACGATTGCCCGTAATTAATGAAGCCCAACTTGGAGTGATGATGATGAATCATCAAATGAAGAGGAACAAGAAGTAGTAAACTTGTGCTTGATGGCCACCGGGGAAGATTCTCAGGTAACCTCTAACTCATTTGATTTTGAAGATTATTCTTATGATGAGTTATTAGAGGAATATACTGGGTTTAGGGATGGCAAACGGGCGGGTCGGGTGCGGATACCCCCTCCCCCATCCCCATACCCACCTAATATTTTTCAATCACCACCTGCCCACCACCCATGATGGGTACAAATTTTCAAATCCACACCCGCCCACGCGGGTACATTTTCAAATCCATCCCCACACCCACTACCCACTAGCAACATACCCATCTAGACTCGCATGACAGCAAACTAATGGGATGTTGGAGTTGGTTCCCAGACAGTTCGTGATGGGGTAGCAGCGCATGCTTCAATTTGTCAGAGGAGTAACTCTACGAATGTTATGGAGACAGATTGTAGGGAGCATGTAGTCACAGAGCTGGATTGTTGTGTTGCTTTCGATGTTAATGCTCATAGTGCGCCTAATATGGGTTTTGAGGGGCTAAAGAACATGGAAACTGCTGCTTTTGATGTTAATGCTTATAGTACGGCTAATTTGTGTTTGGATGGACAACATGAGCTAAAGAACATGGAAAGTGACGTGGTTAGTGGGATTATGTGTTTAATCAAAGAGCCGAATATTTCCCTAATTAAAATCAGATTAAAGACTAAATATCCTTAATATTTGGATAAATTATATGTTATATATTATACAATATTAAAATTAATAAATTAGTCTCTAAAATTACACCTAAATTCATAATGGTCCAAAATTAAATAGATATTTAGCTAGGTGGGCGGATGCGGGGCGGGTAATGTCTCAAACCCATTACCCGCCCACCACCCACGACGGGTACCACTTTATAAATCCACACCCGCCCACTACCGGCTAAAATTATACCCATCCCCGCTTCAATTGGAGCGGATGCGGTGCGGAATCCACGAAACTGTACCCGTTTGCCATTCCTAACT